AATCAAAAAATCAGCCGGGCGTGGTAGCGCATGCCTGTAATTCCGGCTACTTGGAAAGCTGAGGCGGAAGGATCGCCGGAGCCCCGCAGGTCGAGGCTGCAGTGGCACTGCACTCCAGTCTGGGTGACAGAGTGAGACTCCAACTCAAAAAAAAAAAAAGAAGTTGCTGGGAACCCCTCATCAGGAGCCCTTTGGAGCTTCTAAGGCAAAATACAAAAAAGGGAAGTGGCAAAGGGATGCTATAGAGAGACCCCTCTTTCAGGACAAGGCTTCAAAGAGTGGTTTGAATGGTATGAATGCAGTCCTTGCCCTCAATAACTATTTATCAAGTTACATCAGAATCTCCTGGGTGCTGGGGACACAGCAGAGACAAGGCAGATGCTGCTATTGCTTCTGGAGTTTGTATTCCACCAAGCAAGACAGGTGAAACACAATACAAATTAATACATAATTTAAAATGGAGCAGTATAAGAAAATGAAAACAGGGCAAGGCAATGAGTGGTAAGTAGGGTGAGTAGGGAAGTCAAGAAAGGTCTCTCTGTAGGTGACATTTAAATTGAGACTTGAATGTCAAGACAATTAGGCGTAATCAGCTTCATTTCCATTATTGAGCTGTAGCTGGAGTTGTGTGAGAGGGAGGAGCCCATAGGTAGTTTTCTGAGCCCTAGGCCACAGACCTCCCACCATATCCGCCCCTGTGTAGCCACATTCAGCTCCAGGAGCATCTAAAGGCATCTGAAGAGCCAAATACATTATACGCTCAAGGGGCATGCCTGGGCTGTGTCATGCTTACCAAATATGGCAGGAACACAGAAGTTAATTTTAAAAAAAGCTTTAAGAATAAATTAAGAAACTGAATACTCTTTCTTGATGCTCACTAGAGACAGGCATTGTTAATTTTAACTAACCCAGCCTTGTTAGGAGGTAAGTTTACTGTTCATTCTACAAAAACACCTAACTCAAGGAACACTGAGTCACTCTGATCTTGACTTCATTACACAAAATGAAATACTTCTGAGTAAATACAGAATTTCTTAACTCATAGCAGAATCAAAGAACTAAGGGTCCTGGCTTGGGCATTGCAAAGTTGGATAGACCTTTCCAATAAGAAGGCCATAGTTATAAATACTGATGGAGTTCTCTCAATAATTTGAATTAAAATGACTAAATATTAAACTGTTCAATAAAGGATTTCTAGATACAGATCCCTCTGCTCAGCAGTTATCATGAAGCTTGTAGGCCAGAGGGATCTGTATCTAGAAATCCTTTATTACTCTAAGTTGAACAGTTTAATATTTAGTCATTTTAATTCAAATTGTTAAATTCAAATTATTATAATCAGTTTGGGAATGGTTGGAAGAAATCCATTGTGTGGCTGGGCTACTTCCTCCCATACCTTCCTTGCACAATCAATGAAACCCAGCAGGAAAGGCAGTGGAGGTCGGCAGAAGGCAGAGTGAGAAGCTATCCACCCAGTGAGACGCACAGTAAGAGGAGAGACAAGGGCAGCCTAAAGCATAGCCCATACCTAAACCTCCCTGGCCTCAAAGAGAGCTGCTGTGATTGCCTGTGGCCCCCAGCTCCAGGCCACAGGAAGCCCTTGGTCTGGAAATGAGAGTGAGAGAGTCTTAGACTGGTATCTGGCACTCCTGCCAAAGGTACCACAGGCAAATTCAACTCCTCTAGACTTTTATGGGACACATATCCCTGAAAGTAAAGAATGTAAAAAATAAAAAATCAAGAATCATTGCTTTATACAGTGGTTCACTCAGTGGTACCAATGTCATTAACTGTACTGGCTTGGAAATGGGCAAATTCTGGAAACCATCCATTCCATGAGGATTTTCTCTTTCATACAATACAGGAAAAGAAAAACAAAAACCAGTTTGAATGGGGTGTTATTTAGTCAAAATCATCTTGTGAGAGCATTAGAGACTAAAAAGATATGTATTCTATCCGTTCAAGTTCTTAAGTCAACTTAAGAAATTAAATTGGGAAGTCAGTTTTATAAACTTGAAAGAAAAGCATATATGTTTTTAAATGTTTTATCTTTATTTTTAATTACAAAGCAAATACATATGTGCTACAAAAATTTTAAAACTTCAGCAAGATATAAATGGAAAGCCAAAGTCTCATATAAGCCCACTGCTCTTCAGAAATAATATAAGACCTACAGACACTATCATTAGTTTTAAAAGAGTTAAAAAAACAGAACAGGGGGGAAAACAGCCAGGAAGAAAAATAGGTTATGAACTGTGGTGCTCTGGGCATTTGTTAGTGCATGGCACCTATCTCATTGGCAGCTTTAACGCTCTTTTTCTGTTCACAAGAAGACTTACATAGTGTGTCCTGTACTATGTATGCTGATCAAAAAAATGCAAATGTTCTGGCAGCTTAAGTGGATAAAAATAAGAAAGAAAAAAAAATCCTGAGGCTCAGATTAGTCATGTGTAAAGAATGTTTTGAAGACAAAAAATGTTGTTTGGGAGTGCTACCACAGCAACAGTTTTCTGAGAGCCCATCCATATTCAGTATTCCATAAGAAAGCCTGCCACCCTTTCACTGAATACAGCCACCCTCCTCTCAATGCCCCACAATCAGACTGCTGCCCCAGCTCTCATCATCACTGTCTTCACACATTTCATTCCAATACATAAAGATGCACTTTTATTCCTTATCCTCCTTGCCATGGGCAGCATCTGGTACCCAGAGCACTGGACCTGTCCTGCCCCTGTCCCCCACTGACCCAACCCCAGCAGGGCCTCTCTGACCTTGAGGATCCCTGGCAGGCTTCAGGGACTTTCTGATGTTGGCCAGTCCAAGTGTTCTACAATTTGTCTTTCTAGCAAAGACCAAAAAGCCATCAGCTGAAGTCATTGTGGGCTGATTAGAAGCCATCGTCGCTACTATCAAAACCCAGGTCATAGAGCAAATTCTTTCCTAGCTCCTTGCATAGAGTAGGCTCTGAACTTCCAAAATTGAGGTCACTGAACCAGCTCATCTGGTGATCTCCCTGGGAGGAACTGCTGGAAAGTAGGCTCCTATCTTGGGAAGTGCACCCGCTGAGCTGCAAGAGCCTCTCTTGCGCTGCCCTTGTTGTCTTACTGGACCTGACTTTTCCTCCCAGAACAGGGCAGATTGACTTTATGGGGCTCCTGGGGCCCTGCAGATGCAGGGGCTGAGCAAAGAGTTCCTGCTGCCCCAGGGGCATCCTTTGTGGGCCAGAAACAGGAGGCTGAGGACTCTGATATTTAGAATTGAAAGCACAGGTTTTGCTTGGGATTTGTTCTTGCTTCTTGGCTCGGAGCCTGCCTCTGTGGGATTTCCTGGGCTGCTGTTTGTTGTCTTTTCTCCTTCTTTCTATAGTCTTGCCTTTTTGTTTAGTCACCAACTGTTCACATGGGTCAGACAAAAACATACTTTTGGCTTGATATTTTTGGCAGGAATTCTGAATGTTGTTGTTTAAGTTCAGGGATATGAGCTGTGAGGTTCCTTGGGAAACCAGGTCCCTGTCACCAGGAACTTTGTGGCCTGGAATGCTGGAGCCATGGTACTTGGGACCTGTTTTAGTAGTATCCCAATTACAGTTAGTCTGCACCGCTTTGTTCTTTGCATGCCCATTTCCTTTACGGGGCCCAACTGCAGGTAATACAGTCTCTTTTCGGAAAGCATCACTCTTTGTTTCTTCATCCCAGACACAAAACTCTCCAGACTGCAGGGAGTCCATACTAGGATTCCATGCAGCAGGGAGGGCCTGGCCCTGCCATATAATTGGTTCCTCAGAGGTGTCGTTTTTCTGCCTGGTGGAACTGAGGTTCTGGACCAGAAGTGGTGATGTCTGAGAAGTACTGTCTTTCATATGCCCAAATACTTGAGGCATTGAGATAAATCTCTTCAGCTCTGCTAGGACACTGGGTACATTTAGCTGGCCTAGCTGCTCACATAGCTGCTGGAAGTCCTTACTCTGCTGGGCAACTAAAACTTCAAGGTGCTTAAGGTTGGACTTCATTTCCATAAATTCTGCTTCTCTCTGGGGAGAGGCAGTGAGAAAAAGGAAAGTGATGGACAGTACAAGTCAAAACACACAATAAAATGTGAGAACTGATCAATAGATGTGCCAACAGAATGAAGACTTGCCCCTTATAGGGCATCTCACAGGACAAGCATGACTACACTATGGTGCTGGGTCCCTGGAGCCCACATCATGCCAGGGAAACTTGGGAAAGAAAGTTAGCTTATACCCTGGCCCATTACCAAGGGGTCTGTGTTGGCTGCTTGATCTTGGCTGAAAATTTGCAGCTTTAAAGGTATCTCTTTGGGTCTAGTGACAAAAGCAAAAAAATACTTGAGGAAAAAGTTTACAGAAAGGCATTTATACTTACAGTTTCAAATCTCTTCTGCATCTCAAGGACGGCCTGCTCCATGTTGCCTTTGTCCTGCACTGCCTCAAACACCAGGTCATTCTGGGCTTGTACAGTCTCTTGCACTAAAAACAAAACGACAATTCACCTCATAAAGACTATGGTATGCCCCCACGTGCCCAGACCACAGTGGCAAAAAGAGAGAAGCTGGACACCTGGTCTTCTCTGCTAGCACCCAGAACTCTGTCCTTACAAACCAGAGTGATTCCTCCAGTCTCTTCTTTTCTCCCTCCCTGAGAAGATCCTGGTCAGGGCAAACTCAGCCTCATCATCGGCTGGGGATCCTGAGAATCTGCTACTCAAATGACAGCACCAATCTCCTCTGTGGCTTTCATTCGTGGCCCTGTCATCAGAGTGATCTTTGCAGAATGTTGACATCATTATGTCCCCTCTGAAACCCTCACTAAAACTTTCAATGGTACCCCACTGGCCACTGACCCAAATCTAAATATTTAAATTGGTAACAAGACCTGGGCTCACTTCCCTTTACCTGCTTATCTTTTCTTATTTTTTTTTTTTGTATTTTTTTTGTTTTTTTTTGAGTTGGGGTCTCACTCGGTCGCTCAGACTGGAGTGCAGTGGCCGCTCCCGGCCACCGCAGCCTCGTCTGCTGGGCTCCGGCGATCCTTTCGCCTCAGCCTTCCAAGTAGCTGGAACTACAGGCATGTGCTACCACGCCCGGCTGATTTTTTGATTTATTGTAGAGATGAGGTATTGCTGCCCAGGCGGGTTTCGAACCTGCGGGCTCAGGCAATCCGCTCACCTCAGCCTCCCAAAGGCGCGGGATTACAGGCAGAGCCACTGAGCCCAGCTTCTTTTTATTTTTTTGAGTCAGTCTCACTCTGTCACCCAGGCTGGAGTTCAGTTACATGCTCCTGGCCACTGCAGCCTTGACCTGCTGGGCTCAGGTGATCCTTTCATCTCAGCTTCCAAGTAGCTGGAACTACAGGTGAGCGCCATGCCCAGCTAATTTTTTGATTTATTGTAGAGACGAGGTCTCACCAAGTTGCCCAGGCTGGTCTCAAGCCCCTGGACTCAGGCAATCCTCTCACCTTGGCCTCCCAAACTGCTGGGATTACAGGCTTGAGTCACCACGCCTGGCTTTTTACCTACTTATCTTCCTCCATGTCTCTGGGCTTTGTTTTCTCTCGTACCATTGGCCTTTGTGCAAGCTGTTCCCTCAGCTTGAAGTACTACTGCTTCTATCCCTGTCATCCCACCCTTCTCCTGAATCACCATATTAGACTAATTTCTGCTCTCTCAGCAGTCACCTCTTCAGAAAATATCATTTCCTACCCAGCTTGGGTATGCCTTTTCTCTGCTGGTAGCACCATATGTGTGTCCTACCATCACTTATTGTCCTCCACTTATTTATGCCCTGTTTGATCTTGGACCTCAATGGACCTGGGGACCTTGGCACTAACTAAATCAAGACTGATATTAATTTCTCTGTTTTGCACAAGAAGATTCTATACACACACACAAAACATACATTTATTTAATGACACATTATGTTGTAACTAATTACTGTCATCTCCTTGCTAGACTACAGGTCATGTAAAGTTGCACTTACATTCATTCAACAAATGTCTAATGAGCATATTATATGTGCCAGGTGGTATGGATATAACAGCTATCAAGACAGAAAAATCCCTCTTGAAATTACAATCTTATCAGGGAAAACAAGTAGCTAATGAGTATTTATACAAATAAACTATTTATAGATGTAATAAGTGCTCCAAAGGAAAAGTAAACTGAGCTTGAGACCATGTAACAGGCAGACAAATCACTCTCAAGAGTAAGACTTCCTTAAGGAACTGATAATTAGTTGAATTATCATTAATACTTCAGGGAATGGATATTACCAACATAAGAGCATATTCCAAAAAAGAGGAACCAGGAGATCAGCCTGGCTGAAGCACAGTGAGCAAGGAGACTAGAGGCAGGTCATAGTTGGACAGAGGGGTATGTGGGTCAAGGAAAGATTGGTAGACTTGATTCTAAGACTTTATTTACTGACAAAGTTAAGCAGAGAATTTGCATGATTACATTTTCTTCTTCTTTTTTCTTTTTTTTTTTTTGTCAGAGTCTCACTCTGTCACCCAGCTGGAATGCAGTGGCACACTCATGGCCACCCCAGCTTAGACCTGCTGGGCTCCAGTAACCCTTCCACCTCAGTATTCCAAGTAGTCAGAACTAAGGGTACGCACTACCACACCCAGCTCATTTTTTATTTATTGTAGAGACGAGGTCTCACCAAATTGCCTGGGCTGGTCTCAAACCTATGGGCTCAGGCAATTCACTCGCCTCTGCCTTCCAAAGTGCTGGGATTACAGGCTGAGCCACTGAATCCGGCCACATTTTCTTCTTAAAAGAAGCATTCATTCTGCAATTTTAATGATAAAGTAGAGGGTGAAAGAATGGAACAGAGATCAGAAATGATCCAAATAAAAAAAGAGATGTTCAATCAGTGGGGAAAAGACAGATTAATCAGTCATGGCATTGGGACAAACTTGTTAGCCATTTACAAAATAATTAACCTGAACCTCTAATACAATCCTGTTAAGAATAGCAAAGTTCTACACTATGGTTTAGTTTAGAAACGTCCAGAAGTTCTTCTATTTCTTTTCTTTTTTTTTTGAGTTGGAGTCTCACTCAGTCGCTGAGATTGGAGTGCAATGGCATGCTCACGACCCCTCCAGCATCAACCTACTGGGCTCTGGCGATCCTTCCACCTCAGTCTTCCAAGTAGCCAGAACTACAGGCATGTGGTATCACATCTGACTAATTTTTTTATTTGCTGTAGAGACGAGGTCTCACCATGTTGCCCAGGCTGGTTTCAAACCCATGGGCTCAGGCAATCCTCTTGCCTTGTTCTCCCAAAGTGCTGGGATTACCACCTTGAGCCACCGTGCTCGGCCTCTTCTACTTCTTATTCAGGCTGCTTATTTAAAACTCTTGCAGAAGAGGCCAATTATAATGGCCATCTCAAAATTCTTTTTCTGGCTTTCTCTACTTTGGAAAAGAGCTTTAAGAGGGAAAGTACAGGGAAACTATTGTAAATTCACATACATCTTAAATGTATAAGTACAATTTACAAGTAATCAAAAATAATACCCCAGATACTTTTTTGTCTTCTCATAAACTATCTAAACCGTGTTTTGAGGCTGGGCGTGGTGGCCCGTGCCTGTAATCCCAGCACTCTGGGAGGCCAAGGTGGGAGGATTGCTTGAGCCCAGGAGTTTAAGACCAGCCTGGGCAACATATGAGAACTCATCTCTAAAAATTTTTTTTTTTTTAGTTGGAGTCTCACTCCGTCACCCATGCTGGAGTTCAGTGGCACGCTCACAGCCACCCCAGTGTCGACCTGTTGGGCTCTGGTGATCCTTCTGCCTCAGCCTTCCAAGCAGTTGGAACTACCGGCCCGTGCTACCATGCCCGGCTAATTATTTATTTATTTATTGTAGAGACGAGGTCTCGCCAAGTTGCCCAGGCTGGTCTCAAACCCACGAGCTCAGGGAATCCACTTGCCTCGGCCTCCCAAAGTGCTGGGATGACAGGCTGAGCCACCAAGCCCGGCCTACAAATAAATTTTTTTTTTTTTTTTTTTTTT